CGGGGGGGGAATTTATGAACCCCCAGGTCCCTTTGTTTTTCCCGGGAAAAACCCCACCTCCACCGGTTTGAAAAAACAAGGCCGGGGTGGCCCTTGGGGGCAGGGCCGTTCCCCGGTGGAAAAATTTTTTTTGGTTTCCCTGCCCAAAAACCTTTTCGGCCCGTCCCCTTCCTCCCCTTGGTTCCCCCGGGAATTTTGGGGTTTTTGGGGTTTTCCCTCCCGGCCTTTGGGAACCAAAATTTCCCCTTCCATTGGGTTCCCGGGGGGGGGGGGGGGGGGCACGCGGAACGGTGTCGGTTATCGTTGCTTGCTCGCCTTTTCGTCATTCGACCATTGACCACGCATCGCCTCTTTCGGATAGGAGTGACGTTGCTCTTTACCCTTCGCACAGGGACACCGCCTACGTGCGGAAGGTCTTTGCTCGTGTTTTCGCTGGTTTGAGGCGAAGTGGAAACCGGCAAGTCAAATGCATACGACCGGTTCGACGCTAGGCAGCGCACTTTTAGACAATGCAGTATGCATAGCACAGAGGTAAATCATGCTATTAGTGCTGACAACCACAACCTACGGCAGCTTGTTCAGTCTGCCCTGCTGAGTCTTTCCTTCCTCCGAGCAAAGTAAGCAAGCCTCAGGCGGTGCGACCAAACCTACGGTGAGTAGAAAATACCGCTGAAAACAGTCACCGCCTTACCATGACCACACCAATTCATCTGCTATTTCACTCCTACCCAGGTATGCTAAAGTATGCTAAACTGCCAAAGCTTACACTCACAACCGCCCTTTGTGGAATAAATGGGTTCACCTGACACCCAAAGCCTCTAGACTACTGATGTGCCGCTGTAAAAGCTGCCTATCGGCCAGTGCATCATAGTCTACAGAGCCCGGGATGCAGCTCATACTGAATCGCTGTCTGAAATCGTATCGTACTATCGATGTTGTTCATGATGTTTAAGAGACAGGATGAACAAAAAGAGTACACAAGGCACTACTGCTGTAAACACAGAGTGACATGATGCCTGCTGTCGTACATGTAAATCCCATCGACACCTGCAGCAGGGAGCGGAGCTGCTAACGGCAGTGCGATCTCAGTACATTTGAAGTCCCTCCCCTACCGTAGTACTGCGGACAGATATGTGGTTCTGCGCGTTGAGGGTGCAACTGCTTTGGCGCATGTAATCGCAACAATAGCACCCACTGATTGCCCTGCTAAAGCCCGCCGTGATCACACGGTAAGTCGAGAGAACCAGGCATAGCAGTATCGAGAGAGCATGTTCCTCCAATGTAGCACACTTCATTTGAAAAATGCGCTGCATTGTTGTGGGTCGCGCTCGACATCCATCCGGCATACATACCTCGAACTCTTGGAAGAACGGATTGGCATCGCTGACAGCAGCAGCCATTCTCTCTCCAGCAGCAGGCTACGACACATACAGCAGACGTGTGTGTGGTACGTTGAGAGGAAGAAGGGCGGAATGCATCAACACAGCAGGAGCGGACACAGGGGACAGCACAGGTAGAACCCCGAACCTTTCTCCGAACCTGTCCGCTTTGGGTCCGCGTCACTGAAGTTGTCACGTTTGTCACCAACATGCCACACGCCGTCAGCTACAGCTATGGCTGAGGTGAGCGGTTTCAGCTCAGTAAACCAGGAAACGTTGTCACCATGACACACACAGCTATCCCATTGCGGTGATGTACGTACGGGTAGTGCACACACAGTTGGCTTGTCGGCAAGGCAGGGCTCATCCTACGGTACATACTTCTACACCGTAATCCCGCCGCGTTTTTCGGTCAACTTCTACTGTAAAGCCGCACAGAGTATTCATATGATACCATGCAATAACATTGACGTGTAGTGTATACTCAAAACGGCACTCGCACAGGTTGGAGACAAAAGTGGCAGAGCGCCTCTCTCGGGCGATGTCCGAGATCTTCTCGAAGGCAAGTGCGCCTACGCCTTGCGTGGGGTTTTGCTGCATGACGTTCGCCTTTTTTGGGTCACAAGACCGCTTGCTGTCTCGCTGTTTTTGTCCACCGCCGCCGTGCACGAGCTTTGGTTCAGAACCCCCTCCAAAACTACAAGTTTGTTGCTCCATCCAGACGTTCTTTCTCCGTGCTGCGCACCTTCCACGTTTGTTTCTAATCTCGAGCGCACGCACGCCGGTTGCAGCTGTGTAGCAGACGGAGCAGTTTTATCAGGAATATATATATTCACACACAGAAAGACTACCTTTTATGCTGTGGTACACATTTCTCCAAGTTGATCCTGCAGTACAATCAGCGGACATTCAAATTTGACATCACCCCTTTTGGCCTGGCACGCCACATGTCACACCGAGCACACCCTCTCGGCAGAGAAAGAGACCGGCGACATTTTGTTGCTGTCCCGCAGGCCTCGACACGGGCGACCTGGTCCTCTTCGACCGGCCTTGCCTGAAGATGGGAGGCTTTTTCGGGGCGGCGATTTGCGCGGCGGCAAAGGTGGTCGGCGGGGTTCCTTTCGACCATATCGGCGTCGTGGTGAGAGAGGGAAGCCGCACGAGCCGGTGGGGGACAGGGGAGCGGTGGCCGGAGATTACTGTAAAAGACGAAGGAAGCCGTTGGCCGGAAAGACAGCCCTTCACTTGCAACAAATAAACGTAATAGGCAGACAGAATGCCGACAAAGGGAGAGAGCGCGCCAGCGGAGTGCTGACGGAAGGACCCCGCGATCTAAACCGCGATGAAAAATGTACATGCAGCTCCAAAGTTCGGATCGCTTACGGCCGAGTTGAAGACGAACATCGGGAAAACGCGAAGTGACCTCACGTCCCTCTCTTTCCTTCCCCCCTATTAAACTTGAAAACGTAAAAGGTGAAGGACGAGAAGGGTTTGAATGTGATGGTCGAAGCTTCGTTCAGCGGCGTCGCCGTCCGGCCTCTGTGCGAAAGGGTCAGGAGGAGCTCGGCGTCGCAGATCTGTGTTCGTCGGTTGCAGGTTTGGACGCCAATTGAAAACAACATGGATTCCCATAAAACGCTGCTACACACGCATGTGCCGGGGTATCTTCATAGACACAGCTGCCGTAGGGTACGCAGGCAACAAGTGGTGCAACTGGCTCAGCGACCGCGCTCTGTTTTGGGGCGAGGGGAGTAGCAGTCATTCGCCTTTAGCTTCCCGTCTCTCCTGTCACCTTTGCCCAGCAGCCCCAAACTACCCTGCCGTTCTCACGACAGCCTTCGGAAGAAAACCCATGCGCCCGATAGATGTCAGCGTTTCCTCTACAAACAAGACCGGCGTCGTTCAACGGTTACAGTAGCGTGGTCGATGCGAAACACCTACGCACGGCGTGCTCGTTCGCGTTGTGTACCTATAGAGGATTGATGAATTTTCATCGGTCAGCCGGTTTGCGCGGCTTATCGAAGACACAACACACCCGTTGAGATTGGCGTCATTCCCATGGTGAGCCAAATACCGCGGTCGGTGCTGGTAGAAGAAAAAAGCACTTAGCACCCGCACACACACAACGCGGACTAGAAACTGCGTTTGATGTCCCTCATTTTTGAAACTGACGCACCACTTCCGTCCATTGGTCAGCCGGGTAGCTTGGTCGATTATAATGGAAACAATAACCACAAACACACCTTGCACACAGGCCCATCGCACGGAGGAGATGCGGGAAGAGGCCCGGCGTTTCGTGTCCGAGGTGTCGCACCTGCCCTACAAGGAGGGGAGCGAGGGTCTGCTACAGATGGTGTCCGCGGCGTTCCGCTTCCACCCCGCCAAGGAGCAGAGACGGCGGGTTCACGCCGAGACCGTCGCGTGAGTGTCTTCGAGTGCGGTTCAGCGTTGTCACATGAGTACAGCAGTGCAGCAGTAGAACAGTGCAGTAGTGCATTTGTTGTGCGATGGAGTCAGTCGTGGCGTGTAGTAGTGCATGGAACAACACGTGGGCACCTGAAACAGATGGTTGTGTTAGCCCAGCAGCCTGCCTGCCTCCTTGCCTGCCTTTCAACTCTTTGGAGTGCATTTTTTTTGCCTTGAATACCCCCGTCCGTATGCAAGGAGACCTGCCCACATTTTGTTTGTATAGATCGCCAATCCGTAGCCTGTGTCCCTCGAGGGGGCGTGTTTTTCGTAGCCAAGCGTTCTGCAAAGGGAAGCCATGGACACATCACCGTTGTCACGAGGGTGTGAAGAGCGAGTGGTGTGATGGGAGAAGCCTTCGGGCCGTGGCTACAGTAGGTAGACCGTCGACCACAACACCCTGGACACGCTCTTGCTGGGCATGGGTCACCCTTGCTGTTGGTGTCTTGTCCCCTCGGTCCGAGGTAGGATAGCAGCAGCGCGAGTGTCGTCGTCGCTGTTTCTCGCTCGCCTGACTTGCTGGTCGCTCTTACACCAACCTCGGGGGCGTCTTGGTACGCGGTTTTTCGTGTTTGTTTTCATCTCTTTCGCAGGCTGTCGGCATCGATCGCAAGCTTGGAGAAAGAGCTAGAGCTGACGGCTAAGCCGGAGATGGACGGCGACGCCGCTGTCCGAGTCGACGCCACGAAGGAGAGACTACGGCAAGCGATAACGCGCAGGAGAAGGGCGCTGGTCTACCTCGCCGCCTCGGGCGCCGCCCCGGAGCCATCGGGGAGGCCGGCGGCGGCGACAGCGCCGCCAGAAGAAAACGCGGCAGCAACGACGTCAATAACGTCAGCGTCAGCAGCGGCACCCTCCAATGACAGCCTGCCCTTGCGCCAGACACCGATCGGTCCCTTGGCACCCGCTTCACACACGCCGCTGTCACCGTCGCCGCCGCCGCCGTCAGCAGAGCCGTTCGACGGCGGCCTGTTCTGCTCCGAGCTCGTGGCGGCCCTCTACCAACGGCTCGGCCTCCTCGACGCCGGCTTTCCGGCGAGGCACGACTACGTGCCCGCAGACTTCGCGCAGTCGCTCGGACATCCCGTCGACTGCCTGGGCGCCGTCGACCTCGACGAGGACAACGGCGGCGGCGGCGGCGGCGGCGGGGCAACGGGGGACG